AAACATCGTGTTTTTATAATGTATACAAGAAATGATAAACGATTACTAAATCTGATTTGACCCTATACGTTCTGGCTTTCAAGATGGGTATGAAAATTTTCATGTATACTGCGATTCATAAATAACCAACAAATAGTCGATGTTCTAATCCAATATCCGAAGAAGCTTAATTTTTGTTTAGAAAAATTTGTTCGATTAGACAACCAAGTGTTTCAAAAATCACGACCACCGTTAAAATGAACATTCTGTACATGGAGTTGAATATTAAATGATAGGTTTGCAAAAATAATAAATTTATTGATGAATGAAAAAAAGCAGATACGAATCCAGTAGCTTTTACGTAGGCTCAAGAGTAATTAGAGATGCAATACCGCAATCGAATAATCAAATCTGCATATCTAAGTAACCGTCGTCGATAGGCGTTTATCATAAAGAATTTTTACTCGACCGTCACTAAACTGGTAACTGTATGCAATTAACTGCATGCTTCACGTTTGATAAAGCAAATAAACCATGATCATCGAGAATGAAGCAATGAATCATACCGAAAGTGTAGAAGGTTATTCGAAGATAATCGTAGGATTTTAATTAAACGGTTCGAGGTAAAAGTAAATAGAAGCTTTAAATTACCATGTGCATAAATTTTCTTGATATTGGCTATCGTCGAACCGTAGCCAAGTCGGAAAGCTTCCGATCCTCCCAACGCACGTTACACGGAATGGTTGAATCTAGCGAAGCTCGTTGGAAGGTGGCTTAATCCAACTCCCCAGAAATCACAGAGAGACCGCAACCGATATATCCACTTTGTAATCCATACACAAGGGTTCCGTATATATACGAATGTACGAGGAATCGCAGGTAGATAGACAGTGGATTCCTGGTACGCGCATCTCGGTGGCGCTCGTGCTGCACATGCAACACGACCGACTATCTGATTCCACGGCGGAAGTCCTGTTCTTGCTCAATAAGCTAGGCGATCCACGGAGAATAATAATTGTTCCACGGGGCCAGGGTTTATGTACAAACGGCAGGTGGAAAATGCTGTCGGCCTCTAGCTACGAACGCTCTCTCATCCGTATGTTCTTCGTTAAAATGAATTCCTCCGTGCGAGAGGGTTGCAGCGCTCGGTTCACCGAGGAAAATTTAAATCGGTTTCGTTGCGATGAACGCGGAATACGTAAAACTACGCGCAACCGATCCTTATCCAGACAGGGAATTATCATAATTGTAATTGACGTTGAAATGGCAAACGGCATTCGATTCTTTGTATTTTAATCAAGCACGGTAGGAAGCCACCGGTGGCTTTATAAACGTCAGTTTATACAGGAATCTAAATGGTGATTGAATTAATTGAGTGCATAGGTGACATCATGATGACTCTTTCATTTCTCTTGTTTCTTTTGGAAATTTTTGAAGTGACATCAATTAGAAGATTAGTGACGAAATAGTTTAATTACGAAATATCTTAGATTCCTTTTCTAAATTTTGGAAATCTTAATAGAAATAAATATTTGGGCCGAATATATCAAAATACTGGCATTAAATAATAATTATTTAATTTTTAATTAATTTAGACATGAGATCAATTGCATATAAAAATCATAGATCTCAGCAATTATTATAATTCCATCATAGAGTATCATCATTTTTCAATATATTATTTTATTAAGTTAATTTAAAAATGTATAACCAACAAATATTTCAAAAATTCTGTTCAAAAATGTGCACGATATTTGAAACACAAATCAATGACACGATCTTAATTACAAGAAACTGATGATACAGAGGTACGTAAGATAGAAGTATGATAACTACACATCCTAATCGCAGGTGTCCTCTTCCACATAACAGCATTTTAAATTTCAAATTTCAATTTACCACTATCTAGATGGCCTCTAAAAAAAAACGATAGAGACACGTTATAATAAAACGTGCCACCTTATGCGTGGTTAATTTCTTCACAGAAGCGAACAGGTAAACGGGAAACATGCACATAATGTCACCGAACGATGGAAAAAGTAACAATATCCAAATTTAAGGAGGCGTTGATGTTCGTTATCGATGCATTAGCCCGTGAAGAACTCATCAAGATCGATTCTGGATCACGCGGGAACTTTTCTTTGAGGAGATCACCTGCTCCATGTGCACAGTCATCCTTGGCGACAGGTATTGCACCTGTAATACACCTGCGACCAATCGGCTAATTTGAAAGAAATTTATTGTTCCATCCTGTTAATCAGGTATTCATCTGTACTGTTACTAATCACTTTCCAAGAATTCTAACACATCCTGAAACACTATCTAGAATCTTGAGCTAACATTTCGGTGTAACAGGATTCTAGCTCATGAATTTGAACGAGGTGATACTTCAGATCGAGATAAATGATTTCCACTGAAGGATATTTAGCTCGAGATAAAGGAACTTAATTATTATTGCATACCTGTGTATCAAATTATCCGACGCAAATAAAATTTCATTTGCATCGAGAGAAAAAAGGAAATAAAGAAAATTCAAAGGCAAATACGGTAACAGAATGAAACGAGAAAAAGGCAATGGCGGTTAACGCTAATTATCGATCATTATGCCCACGGTGGGCGGGTAATTGGGATTTATGTTCGCCACAATAATCCATGGAATAGCGAACGAGGGCGGCGAGACTTCGACTTAATGCACCGTGAGTTTCGTTTAATTGTTATTTACGCCAAACGATCACGCAATTCCCCGGAAAGGTGGCGGGATAGCAAAGCAAGGAAATAAGATAAAAGAGAACGGGGTAACAGTTCAAGAAGGAGAGAAATAGAAAGGAAGCTAGAAGGGCAACGAACTGATTTACTGAACTAATTCGCGACAATTATCAGCGGTAAGAGATAGTAGCTGAAATCACGAGAGCTTGTAAATCTGCCAGACACGTGAAACAAAGTTTATCGGTGTCGCAAGGAAACGATAAGTGATACTTTTAGTTTCCTAGCTGGAATTAATTGCTTCGGATAAAAATCTTATATTTTTATGGAGGAGAAAATTTTCATTTTAATTTCTACAATTTCAAATCATTCCTTTAGACATCATCATGTGTTACATGTTAATCTATCCAACTCATCAACGAATCCTTTCTCTTTTAACCTCTCGAACTCGAAGAAACATCGCCCACGCGTCGCGTCTTAAAAATCACACCTCGAACGGCCGCTCGCAGACGTTCGACGTCTGATAATTTCCTTCTGCTTTTTCTCGGTTCGCACGTCATCAGACGGAATGCCGGAAGTTTCGATACCGGGTACTCGTCCCGCATAAAAGCCACGACAACATCGAGCAATCCGGCAGGCAATAAAATCGGCGACAAGCCGTGAATTCGTGACACGCCGTCCATAAAGGGATTTATGCTCACGTTCCAGAGGAACAGGCGACGAGCTCGTCTGCCACGACGATAACGTTTCTCTGATGCTCGCTTGTGCATCTTAGGATCACGTAAAAGCCGCATAAACGGTCTAATATAAATAGATTGCAATAAATAGATAGCGGAAGGCGATAACTCTTGGCCGATGATAATCACCGGCTTGCCGCCGATCTCGATTCCTAATGATAGCGAACGATCTATGATTCAGAATCACGTTTATCTTTGATATTTATGCGGTTGAAATTATCTGGATAAAAGTCACTTAAGTAATTTCAGAAAACATTAGATTATTTTGAAATTAGATAAGTATCTGATACAGGTTTCCAATGCACTTTTCTCGAATCGAACTTTTCTGCATTCGACGAACACAGAAGCAACACGATTGTATAGAAAGCAATAGAAGCTATATATATCGAGGATACAATGACGTATCGTGAAGTATCGGCAGACAGGGAGTGGGATCGTTTCGAAAATGAAAGAATCCCGATGGCTTTTTTCCTGCTTTTGTTCGCGGATCGATTTCGTCGAGCATCCGTGCGACGACAACTATTTTCTGAATCGCCACTAAAACGGTCTGTTTGCTTGTTCTCTGTGTGCCGGCATAAGATCCGGTATCGAGAGGGAAAAGAGAAGTGATGCTACACGCTCGACGGATCGGGAAGCCAAAGATCCTGGCACAAAGGGCAGACAGCAAAAGAAATTGCATCGCACGCTAAATCTCTGGCGTCGATGCAACCGCCTAATCAATCTTCAATCGACACGATTGATTCTCTCCCCTTTTCCCCAACGACTACTTGATCTTGACGCTTCTTTCTCGAATGCCTTTACAAACTTCGCGTTTCATGGAAATCGCATTCTTGTTGCATTTGTTGCATTTACGTGTACTTTACTTTTCAAAAACTTATAAGAAGAGTTAAATTAACCCTTTCATCAGAGCATTGTATTTTTAGTATGAGTGATTAATTTTTATTCTGTGATCAATTTTAAATTGTATAAAATTTGAAAGAAATTCTTTTAATTAATTGGCAGATCAATACACCAAGTACAGTGATACCTCGGTATACGTCTGCTTTGGAATATGTCCTGTTTGGACGTGATAAATTTTGCTCGGTATACTGCTTCTGTTTGGTATACGAGATAAAGTTATGAGGGAATTTTGTGTCATTTTTAAATAATTATCTCGGAGGAAAAAAAAAATATACTGATTGAATTGAGTAACCTCCTCCTTTTTTGAAGTCGGTTAAAAAATTAAATTAATAATCAATTATATTTGGAGTTGATGTATTATTAACTGACTGATCATACAAGATAGGGAAAGATTGATTTGGTATACGTCCTATTCAGTATAAGTCCAAACATCAGGAACGGATTAAGGTCGTATACCGAGATATCAGTGTAGTTTTGAAAGGGTTAACACGTTGCATATCAGAAAAATTTCTAATACTTAATTATAAAAAATTGCAATTATGATATTTTTATATTAGGTCATTAAAAGTTGATTTTCAAGAGAGAGACTTATTTTGATCTCCTTAGTAAATGCTTGATAACAAGTTACCCATGCAAATTACTCCATACGGAAGTATCTAATAAAAATTAATGCAGACTCACCGTGATGACTTCTCGCCTTCATAACCCTGTAGACTTCGATGCTCATCCAAATAGTTAAACAGGCTCTCTAGTTCGTTGAGTTGTTCGTTTCTCGCATCAGTTGCCTCTTTCAGGACCTACGAAAAGAAAGAAATTCGAATGAATGCAATTGATACTGTAAAAATATTTATATTATATCCATCGCTACCCCTTTCATACGATTTCTACACAAATTGCACGAGAAATGAAAGAAATAACAGATAGGCTGCTGTAAGAGTTCGTGTAAAGACAAGGATAAAATTGCTGTGTGTTGCGAGGATGGCACACGTTATGCACATATGCCATGCATAAAAATGGTATCCACGATACGCGACGTGATTTACATAAATATAAAACCTCTACTTCCCATTACATCACTATGACGATGTAAGGAATCTCTCTGTAGTAAGTTTTCCAGAAGCCACAAGGACGGGAAGAATAAAAACTGTATTAAAAGTGTATCGTCGATGATAGAAATAAATTCAAGGATTCACTCGCATCATATACAGTATCTTATCCTTCAATTATCTTTTTTTAATTTTTTTCTCTTTTCATTTTAATTTACGATGTCTTGGATATATCACATAAGCCTCTTAACAGTGCGATGAAATAATTAACTTTTGCAATTTTAAGTTCCTTCAAGGTTTTGAAATATTTCTAAGACCTTTGAAATTTTTTAAATTCTAAAGAATAGGGTAATTTTCAAACAACTTTGAGGCTTAGAAAATTTACAAAAATGTCTAATTTCAAGATACCATTCAAAGTGAATCGAAATGATTAGTATCCTATCGTTGTTCATATGTATTGATACGATACTAGAAAACAGATTGGACACGTGGCAAGATGGCAATAGAGTAGGAAGAAGGATAGAACTGAGGGACAGGGAGGAGGGGAAGAGCGTGGCGGAGGGAGAAAAAAAAATATCGGAGGTAGCGTCCCTCGAAAATAAAATCGGTTTTCCGATAACTGGTTATTTGCTCGCACAAGTGGCTCGCTGACTGGGCGAGCACATCGGAAGCGGTTTTCGCGTGTAATATTATCGAGTTATCGGTAGGAGTGGAGGGCATTGATCGGCAGCCGGAGGGACAGGGGAGAGCTAGACGGTAGGAAGAGACAGCTAGAGAGGGTGGAGGAAGAGTAGGAGATGGAGTAGGTGGATAGGATGCGAAGGATAGGGTGGGTGGAGAGGACTAGGAGAACGTGCATTGCACGGGCACAATATATCCGCGTGATTACAATATGTCGGGGCTCGAGAGACCAATATCAACCTGAAGTCGGCTCAGCCAATGCTAATAATCCCTATTGTTGGTGCCTCCACTCGACTGCCTCTCGCGATCGGATACATCTTGTTTCGAAATTTCGAATTGCCTCGTCGTACTTTCCCTCCCTCCTCCTCTTGCCACTCCTCGGTCCCTATCGTAGTGAAATTTTTTCGATACAGCATTTTTGCGTATAGCTTCTGATGGGATTTCTTGTTTGGCTGAATTGAAATGTGGTATCATTTCATAAGCCATCGTGAGAGATACTTCATTTTTAACGACAAGGGAGGATTGTAGTTCTTTGTACAATTTTTTTGAACAGTATAAATTTATAGGTATATTATAAATATACAAATAGAATGAGAAATTGATATAAGCATTAATGGGGAAAAATAAAAAAAATTTTAGCAATCTACCCCTAATTAGGTGGAGTGGATAAAAGTGTTAGTCTTGTCTCTGTGTTGACAGTACTTTTAGCACACCCTGTATAATAGCGCGTGCCGTTAAAATAGGGCCCATAATGGCGAACAGATAACCGACAAAAGAAATAAGAATTGTCCTCGACGCGTGTGCCTGGTGCCAACAGGCCAAGCCGCCTTTCACACGTCCCACGCGAAAGACGACGAAGCTCGGTCTCTTTCAAAACAATTACGCATTCTCCAGCGCCTGTTCTCCCACGTCTACATTATCGTCTTGCCGCAATGTTCTTCGGAGCTTGCCTACATCATTTTCAGAAAAGACCACGAGAAACTTGACATTTAGAATAGATCATTTTTGATCACTTACTTCAACTCTTAAGAGAGTGATAAGTATCTCGAATCTCACGTATGTACACCTGGGAACAATTATATCATAATTGCTCTTTAATATGTCATTTCGAAATGAATTTCTGTATCTTTTATATCGTGCGCTATTGTAAATTAAACTGTCAGTCAAAAATTTGTTAATTACCTAACTCGATTTTACCGTAATTAAAATACAACTATTTCAGCTTAATAGACTTTTAATTAATTACACTTTTTTTCCAGATATTAACAGAAGATATATGACTCGGATAATACAATTAACAGTACGCAGAAAGATCTGTGAGTACAAAAATTTAACTCTTTCTTTAAAATTAAATTTATTAAGAACTGAAGGTAATGGGAAAAAAGTGATTTTGAGATTCTTAATTAATGCATGAAAATTTACAAGAATCATTTAGCTACGATTTATTGCAAAATATAAAGTATGTTAAAATTAATGCACACTGTAACTAAACAAAAAGAAATTATTCATTATAACGAGCTGTTATCTTCCATTTGGATGTACACTTCTTTCCATAATTCCCGATTTATAAATTAACGCGTTAATCTTCCTGCAGCACGGCAATTATTAAATTCGTTCGTATGAACAATTCCAATTAAATCCTACATTTATTTCTAAAGGTATCAAAAAAATTGGGGAATATTAAATTGATCCTGAGCGATTATATTTCTTCCAACGTGTTATTCATTCGACTTCCTATATCATACGGTTCCATACAATTTTAATCGATAAATCGTCGCGTTAATTATCCGGATCAGCGCTTAGTAATTTCACAGTATCGCTGTTCGGATCCAGGAGGGTACGCGCAGCCATATTCGTAGGTTCATATTCAATCTTATGACAGTGAAAATATAGAGGTTCTGTTTTATTCCACGTACCATATAAAATATCCTCAAAAAATGTATACTATAAAAACTAAAAATTTTCAGAATTTAATTCAAAATTTAAAGGAGATAGTATTATTAATAAGAAAAAAAAAGAAATGAGACAATATGGAAAATATAAAAAAGATGCATTGTGAATTCTAGAATCAAAAATAAACAGAACTAAAAAATCTTTATAGAAATCTTCACATAAACCTGTTTTATTATTTATTGAATTGAATCCAGAAATAAAGTAAGGTCCACAGATTATGATAAAGCCTGTATAACGAGTAATCAAAACCTCAGAGCATCGGTCGCTTCGACCATGTAATTAATAACGATTAATCCAATCGATCTGGTTTCTCAATCGGTATTTAAAAGAACATAAGGATTTAATTGGAGCGTTGCATGTACTTTACGAAGACGCGACGAGTCTGATGGCAATTTAAATTCAATTGATTCGAAATCGGCTGCTACTGCTGGTCAGCGCGCAAAACCGAAGCACGCGGGGTGTTTCGATAACGAAAGGTAACTTGATGCTTATCCACGAAACATACGGTCTGATAAGGGGTGCATCGTCTCGTTAATCACTGCCGAAGCTGATACTAGTTCTGCGCCGAGAGGCGTGTTCAATTAGCCCCACGTAACCAGCAACAATATTAATTAACGTAAGCTGTGTGTGCAAATGGCAGCGTTTCACTCTCAGAGTTTGCTGCAAAGTTTTATAACGTTAAGCCTGATAACTTACGATGAAATTAGGTACATCTTTAATCACTCGTACAGTTTCAAATAGGCTACGATAATTATCGAACACGGGACTTTTGAAATGTTGCACTTTTATGTTACATGGAAGCTATTACGAACGAATTAAATCGAATGAATTTATTTAATATTCTTCGCGGACTTTTATTGCAATTTCAAGACACCGAAGTACGATAATGGTTATGTAATAAGTTAATACACGGTTGAGATAAGAACGGTTTATTAGGAGATAAAGTAACAATTTTATGTAAACTGACTCGGAGTACCATTAATAAAGCAGTTAAGGTTAAACAGGTACATTCTGCTAGTGTAATTACACTTATTTGTAAATGAATGTGTACGTTCGATGTGCACCTGTTAAAAATACAATTTTATTGTGGATGAATTAAATAAAATAAATAATTATTATAGTATTACATATAAAATGGTGTATTTTAAAACACAGAAAGTCTGGCATGATTTTATGACAGAAATAGTTTTAATTAATTACTAATCAGAAAAATGTTAATGTAAATGCATGAATTTTTTTTTCACACAGAACTTGAAACATTTATCATAATCAATGTAATTTTCAAAAATTATGGAACACTGTAAATGAACATTACTGTAATGAACATTAAGGTTGATAAGACATCTCTAGAAGAATGGAGTCTTTATTCCTAAACCTAGATTCGTGTCCCTAATCGCAAGTTTTTAACGAGCATGCATGGGAATCCTTAGATGCATAAATTACGGTGCTGTTATGATGGTATATTCTTGAATAATAAATAAAGATGGTAATCAATGCTAATATATGACAATTATCTGTCTGAGTGCCTTGTAACGTACAATGCAATTGAAAAATTCAGAAGAAATATATTAATTTTAACACATATCAATTCTATTAAATTTTCAATGGAAATTAACAATTTTTAATATCATCTTTATTCTTTTTTCGCGATAATCGTCATTCGAACGGATAAGAATTATTAGAATCTTATGTTTACTTTCACTAAGCGGACGGTTATTTTCGCAATAGCTGTGTGGGAAGTAATTACTAAGTATACATTACGGTTCGGTGCACGACGAAAACAGCGGTTTCGGTAAATCTTGCAGTAAATACTATTGAGTTAGTGGTAATTGTGGCTTGGAAGAGGCATAATACCAGTGCTTACACCCTGCATGAAATAATTGTTATGACCGGCAGTCTGTACTTTTGCGGTAGACAATTCTCTGAACTTGTAATTCAGAAAGGAAGGATACGTACACATTGTCCACAGAAGGAACAGATTTTGCTAATGATGAGTCTTATTACTATTTAAATTATGTAGACTACTTATTCCACCCACTGTATGCACATTGTTAATCGAGTTATTATCATCTAACTTGTTTTTGATAAATTTTTAATAAATTGCTTCTTTTCACTTGTAATGTAACGTTTATATCAACGTTCTAAGGTTGATTTTAACGTAATGTGTGTTCGAACTGTTAAGGAAAATGATGTTGGCATGTTTTGATTTACTGTAATTAACTTATTTAAAAAAAAGTTTCTAACACTTATAATGTATTATAATATTATAAGTGAAGAAAAGCAATTTATTAAAAATTTATCAAAAACAAATTAGATGATAATAACTCGGTTATTATCTTATAATATTACATTATAAATGTTACAAATATTTTTCTAAATAAGTTAATTATTTCCCTTAACAGTTCGAATACACCTTACATTAAAATCAACCATGATTTCTTACAAAATTTTCGATAATGATTTTGTAACTGGGGTAGCAATGATGGTAAACAACTGTAATTGTCTTAGAATTCAATTGCACCATTGGAAAAAAAATGGGAAAGAAGTTCCTTAAAAACAAAAGGAAACATCGCCATCTAACAAACAGATAAATCCTCCTTCGTGACACGAGAGTTGTTCCACTTCTCACGTGTCACAATTAGAGCTGCTATCATCGCGAACGATCAGCCTATTAGGCCGGTGCCGGTTACATGGAAAACTATCGATAGTCAATAAATAGCGATCGAGTCGCATGCGAGCATGTATCCCTTTACTATTTCCCACGTGTTTCCCCGGCTTTCCTTCACCCAGTGCCGTAGGATGGAATTCCAGCAGGCCGTATCGTGCCGTTCGTTTATCCCACTCACAATCGGCCTACACGCGGCTAGAATGCGCTGAAATAATATGATTATGCTAATGAGACAGGACAACGGTGGCCAAGGGGAATGGATTCCGTTGAATTATTCCCGAGTAGCGACAGGGCTGGCAATAATTATCAGCTACGATACATTCGTCTTGATCGACTGCGAAAGACGTCGCGTAACTCTTATTGTTACTACTAGCATTGACACCTTCGCCGTACGTCTTTTCAATATAGCGACGTCAGAAGACAGGGGGAGGAGGAGTGTTATTTACGGGACGATTTGTAATGTACCGCTCGTTACAAGAGACGGGACGGGTATCCGAGCTGGGATCGTAAGATGTAATAAAGTTGTAAAGCCAGATCGGAGGTCAACGCGAAAAATTCAGGCCAATCGAGTAGTAGTCTCTGCGTCCTTGAGGCACTCCTATTTTTCCTCTATGGGAAGAACAGATCGCGATGAAACTCCATCGATACGGTCCGCTTTGAATGTCAGGGAAAAGGCGTAGCGCTCGCCTTTGTCTCGCGTCAAGACACGTTTTCGCGTGACGGTATACCGCAACATTGATTATTATAATAACACAATATTTTTCTAAGTAACTGTGAAAAGAGGAAAAGAAAATTTTCTGTTGTGATCAATCTCTCCTTCGCTGTGACGGCTGAGATGGATCGCTTTAATACAATAAGTCATATTTCAATTCGTTAAGTTATTTTCCACTCACGACTTATTATTATTTTTTTTTTCCGAGAAAATATACATATATCGTCAGCTGTTCTAGTATTAAAAATTAGATAATCGTTAATAAATAAAGTGTAGACCGTAGATTCGAAAAGAGCAACAAGGTTTCGAAAATCTGTGGACGGATAAAGGTTAACCTCGTCTAAAGCGGAGAAAGGATCGTTACAGCTCATTAGCCTTATCGTTTGTTGATCGTTTAACCTCACACCTTTCCGCTGCAACAGAACATCCATCCAAGAATATTGGAATTTTAATAGAGCATCATAGATGCAAGCGCGAGGCAATTCGAGCGAAGTCGGAACTTGAGAATCGGGCCCTAATTGTGCGATTAAGGCGAGTCAGGCGTTCGATCGACGATCGAAGTGCCGTCACGAAGCTATCGTCTAGGAAAAATCGATCTTTCGCGTAATAAACACGACCCCTTGCGACGTAAAACAATAAATTCTGCAAATGAGCACCGGTACTCGACCGAAAGGTCGCCATACGACGGAACGATTCTTGCTATTCCCTTCTTGATTTATGTACTAACGAAAGATCGTGAAGATCCTCCTAGTTGATTCGAGAGAAAAGTGAAATAAATGCCAAGATAAAATTATGAGAAGATCAGAATCCGTGGAAATCTACGTCGACTTTTCCATTTATTGAAAAGACCTATGTATGTTGAAATTGAAATTTTTATTTCTAATTTTGACAAATTGTTAAAAAGAAGGTTGCACCTCCCAAAAGTGGTCGTTTTCTATTATTATTTTTTATTATACAGTTGTGTCATTTAGAAGCCACAAAAG